TTAGCCGCTTTTTTTTTGCCAATCTAGCCGGTCGGCCCAAAAAGTTCTGGCAACACTGCTAATGAGGCCCTCGTTTGCCTGCCGCTCTACTCTTGCGCTGCCCTCGTTTGCTTACTCGCTCGCTGGCTGCTTAGCGCGTGCGCTCGTACTTAACGAGTGCTCATTTGCAAACAGCCTCGCGTGTTGCTCGTGTGTTGCGCTAGCTCAGTGCAAACTAACGAGCGAGCGAGGGGCTAAAATGAGGCAAATCCGAACCCTAGATATGACCTTTAGCATTGTTGACTGTCACATTAATGTGAAGATTAAAATTATGCTTAGGATCCATTGTGATAACGAGGTCCACACAATTGTATACCTGTTCCCGGCTATGGTTACCTATTGTATAAGAAACAGGCTGAACAGCTCTTCGCGAAAAGCCCACTACTTTACATTTCTTAAGATTTAGAGGCATACGATTTACTTTACACCAGTAAGTGTTGTTGTTTAAGTGTGATTGTAGCGAAGACTTTTCTTTAATTGAAACATACGATATATGGAGTTTTACATCATCTGCATACATTCATACATTTTGGAAAATTTTTTATCTGTAGATATCGTTTATAAAAAGCAAGAAGAGAACCGGGCCTAGGTGGCAACCTACTCCTGAACTCCTGAAGTAACATCAGTGGCGTCAGAAATAGTATTTTCCAACTTTACCGTTTGTGATCTATCATAGAGGTATGAAGAGATCCAATGTAGAAAATTAGGTGTTGACTGTGTGAAATGCTAAAAGAGATAGAATGCGTCAACTCATTTGTTAAAATTGCTTCAAATAATTTAGGAATTGTAGAAAGCTTAGCTATGCCCCGGTAGTTCTCCACTAAAGGCCTGTTACCGCTTTTATGTAACGGGGTTACCCTCCTTAAGAGACAAATTGGATAAGGCTGTTAACGGCTCATAGAGGTAATCAGCACAATTTTTAAGAAAACAAGTAGGGATCTGGTCAGGATTATAACTAAGGGACTGATTTAAGGATTTCAGATAAACTACTACGTCATTGGGAGGTATTACTGCGATATTTATTGAGTTAATTGGACATAGTTTAAAAGGATAGTCAATGTTAGCATGTGAGTTAATGAAATATTTGGATTTAAAAAACTGAACGAACATGTTAGAAATTATTTTATTATCTCTAGAGACGGCATTCTGATACCTCATGGCGGACGGAAATCCCCGTACATTACGCTTGGAGTTTGCGAGATCATAAAATGATGTGGGGTTATATATTATACGCCGTTTGACTTTACACAAATAAGCTTTGTAACACTTTTTGTTTAATTCAAAGTACTTATGACGCAAAAATGAGTATTTTACATAGTATGAGTGTAAACCCGTTTTTGAAGTGAAATTTCTTTAGCGGCGGTTAGTTGGTTGGCAGTGATCAGACTTCTACCACACTTCTACCACTTTGTGGTAGATCTGCCACTTTTTTGAGCATCTACAACATCTACCACACAAGGTCTAAAATCTGCCACATATTCGCAGTTTTGAGTAGTTTTATTTTTGCTCGACATAATTTTCTTAATTTTAGGAGCAAAAATTGTCCAACACTAAACACTAACAACAAGCAAAATGGGATTCTAGAATAACCTGTAAAATATAAAATTTTTTCAATATTCAATTTTTCGACAGGAAACGTGGTTTTATTGTGTTAAATAGCAAAATATATGATTTATAAAAATAATTAAAAGCGAAAATGTTAAAAGACGGTGATTTTTGTGTAAGTATTAGCAAATTTCAGTGCATCTAAAGTTTCTAAAGCGTTCTATACTTTTACTTGAGAATTGTCAAAATCGGAAAACTCCAAGTAGCGGTTTCTGGAACATGCCACATTTGTTCGCTACATCGTAATGTGATAGAAAGAAAAGCTGGCAGCACTCCGAAAGGTTGCAGAAATCTTTCAAAATATTTTCGAAAAGTATCTAGATATGGAAAAAAACTCAACGCAATTTTTAACAACTTCAACCTTGCACTTTATTATACTAAAATATTTTTTTTTTAGATTCTAATTAAAATATTTGCAATTTAAGTGAAACCTTGCAGATTTTTTTTTAATTTTTCTACAAAGTTTGATCCAAAACTTGAGATCTACCACATTTTTTTAAAATCTAGCACCTTTTTTCCCAGATTCTACCGCACAAATTTTTTTCCAAGTCCGATCACTGTTGGTTGGGGTTAAAATGGCAAACTCAACGGAAATTGCACACGGAAATAGTGTAATAGAGAGCAGGTGTGAGAGTCTAGTGGCGAATAAATTGGTCGTCTGTTGTGATTGCAGCTTTTCGACGCTAAGACTCCGTGCATTGTTTGATGGTCATTTTTTGTTGCACAGAGGCGGGTGCTTATTTTGGCTTGAATAAGAAAGTGGTCATTGTTGATGTTGTCTTGCGTCTGTCACAATACTAGAAAGATTTTAAGTATGCAGTTTTGTAGCTTTGTAGCCCATTAAATTTTTTTTATAAAAAATTGCAAGAATGAAGCATCTGGCTCTAACCGTTTATTTGTAACATTTGTTTTTGTAACGGTGTTGCGCATTTTCTTCGTTTTTTATGGAAATTTGAATTTGAATTTAATTTGAAAAATAAAGTGAAAATATGTGCATACCTGCGTTGTGATTTTGTGTTTAAAAAAATTTCAGAATACGAGAATGTTAAAGACCTCCCAACTAGTAAAATTATACATATGTATGTACTGCGTGGAGTGACACTTTTTTTGTTGCTAATATTATTAAGTGATAAGAGTTCCAATTTTTGTTACGTAATTTTTACTCATACATTATTGTGTGATGTAGTCAATTTTCGATGGTTTCTTTTCGATTATTTTGAAAATTAATGGGTTAATCGCTCGATTAATCGAAAGGAAAATTTGGATACAATTAATTTGTTAACCGAATGAAAATAACCGATTATAATCGGTTATTCGATTAACCGTGCCATTATTAGCTCCGAAGCCCTGTCTGAGATAGGCAGCCGAGATAGGTCGATTTTCCGCTCAATTATCGATATGTAATTGTATTCGTCAATTGAACTAAATTAACTATATAAACTAAAAAACTAGTTCACTAAGGTGAACAAACTACAACTGGACGGTTCACGCAAAAGAACTAACGTGCCCAACTATAGTCGTTGCCCAGAGGTTAGCCACTCCCTTGTGAATGGCAGTCAAAAGCTTTACCCAGTTACGTGGATTTCTGCGCACGGAACCATCCTCCCCCTTAAGGGTTTAGAAATACCTATTGTTTTTAAGTACTTATAGTATAGTTATAGTAGTGTAATTTGCTTTTATTAATTTCAATGATCATTCTTTATATTTTAATTTTATTTAGTATATTTATTACGACGTTACCCTCTTTAGATTACGGCTAAGCTTTAAGAAGACAGAGAGAGAAAAACTAAAAAGAAAGTATCCAAGATGAATTATAGATCAGCTACAGGTTATCCGGACTACGAGGACTTCCCATCAAATCATGCGCCAACATACAACGATAGCCCATTGCACCCACTGTTGGCCGCTATTGGCGGGAATATGGAAAAGTATGCGTAAGTACTATGCTGTTTTTATTCACTTATGCGCACTTATGTACAAGGGTATTATAACTTCGTTCCTATCACGGTTGTTTGTGTGGACCAAAGGAATCGAGAAAGAAGATGGGTATCGAAGTAGAAAGGCTTTTCTCCTTTTGTTCGCATCACTCGACATTTAAGATGATTTTGGTGGTCGATCAGATTTTCTAGTCTTTACCTTCGGAAATTGAATGTTTTTTTTAACCATTCATTTAAATTTAAGAATCTACATACTACAAGCCTATTAGATTTTTTCGATTTTTTCGTTTCAGATACCGCTTTGTGTCATTTGAGTAATAATCAAAAGATAAAATATAAAACAGATTCTAACTACATATCGTCGCTGCGCCAACAAAAACAGCTATGTGATTTTCGTAAATTTTTTTATTGCATATTTTATTAACATTATCTATTGCCCACATTACTGCGTTTGCCCTTCTCTCTTTTCTTTTGGTTTTGAACTGATCAAAACCAGCTATGTGCTCGCAGTACTAGAACTATGATTTCAACTCAATCAAAAATTCCAATTAACCAGACTCTATAAGTGTCAAAATGTACAAATCTGTACAAATGTACAAATAGTGTGACCCCTGATTGAGATTTTTTTGTAATCAACACTTTGTGTGGCTCTTTTTCTTCTTTGTTTTTTCTTCAATAACCGAGCTAGACTTCTCTGCCCTTAGTTTTTCCCGCTAGTATTTTCAGCACGAAGATTAAGACTCTGTTCACATGGCGGGAGCTAAACGCGTGTTTACAACTATGCGTATTTAGTTGTATTTTACTTAACTCGCGTTAGCATGTGAACAACTAACGCGAGTTAAACGCAAGTAAAAATTCGTTGGTGTTAAGCGCCCGTCAAGTGAACAGGGTCTAATAGAGTTACTGAGTGAGTTTAAGATCGAGGTGAAACGCCTGTACTGACCATTCATCTAGTTTACTCTTCCACTTGAAGAGTGCAGCCTTGTATGCAGTGTTGCCAGAACTTTTTGGACCAACCGGCTAAATTGGCAAAAAAAATGGCTAAACTGTTTCAATTAAATTTCACATGTTTTATTTAAATAAATCAAGAGTAGAAAGACTAGTTCTTGGAGAGAAGCTGCAAATTCAAGCTGGAAAATATTTTGCCAGCAAGAATTTACAATTAGGAAAAACATATGATTGTGGCACTTGGCTGGATTTTTTATTGACGACAAATTGAATAAACAAGTTCGTTAAATTAAAAAAACTTACAAACTTGAGCGATTTTAAAATGAAAAATGTAAGTAAATACTTATTTACTTGGTACTCGGCTGCAAAAAAGACTGTATTCGCAATCGGAATGCAATCTCAACCAGAGGAAACCCTACAGTTACTACGACAAAAAAATGGAAACGTATGTTGAAGAAAGTCAGACTAACAAGAAATATACATGTAGATCCGGTTTTTGGTCCCTCTGAAAGACTTTTAAAAATTTTATATAAATTTCTTATAATTGAAATATAACGCTGGACACTAGCTGGCAGAGAAACTTGGAAATTCCTGCAAATTTGCATTCGTCCAGAAATTGCAAGTTTCTGGAATAATTTTTTCTTACTATCTGATACTTTGAGTCAGTGTTGCTAACTCTTGATTTTCAAAATGCACCAAAAACTTGGAAAAAAGGCGTTTTACCAAACTAAAAGTACCAAATTTTTTTTAATCAAAGGATGCTTTTTTCATAACAGTTTGTATTTAACAAAAGCAAAATATTAGCAATATTTATAAGCAGGAAACGGATTTTTAGGACCTAGAAACCTATAAAAAAGGCAAAATAAAATAACGAAATAGGCTGGAAAAGACTAAATAAAATAGCGAAAAAGGCAGGAAAAGGCACTAGGTGTTGCAAAAAAGGTAAAAAAAGGCAAAACAAAATAGCGAAAAAAGCAGGAAAAGGCACTAGGTATTGCAAAAAAAGCAAAAGAAAGCCCTAAAAAAATACGGAAAATACGAAGAACAATCAAAAAATACATTTATTTTAGAAATGTTTATATTACAAGTAAAAAGAGAAAAACTATGAACTAGTTTCATTATATGAAAAATTTGTACTTTGAATCTTTCTCTGATTTATCCTTTCGAGTTTCTAACTCATAAAACTTTAATCTGTATAGTTGTAGTAACATTGAACCACAAGATGCATTTTGAAGTTTTCTGGCAGCATTTTCATTCGATTTTCGCGAAGAAAAGCCTTGAATGTATTAAATGTGCGCTCGACGTAAGTTGATACAAGTCGAGCCCAATTTAAATATGGAACGTTTGAGCCGTTCATATTACCAGGAATAAGGGCGTTTTCCTCGCCCTTTATAATTTTATCCAAACCCTTTATTGTCTCCAAGCCTTCGTTAGTTGAGAAAACGGCTTTGAATTTTTCCAACACCAATTTGGCAAGAGGTCTCTGCGCTTCTATAAGCCACATGGGCATGTGTATATTTTTTAATCTTAAAAAAAAAATTGTAAATGCTATAATCACTTTTTTAAAGGTAGAAAAGGCAAAAAAAGGCAAATATCTTAAAAAAGGCAAAAAAGGCAACATCAAATGTGTATATATGGAATCAGGGATAGCTAAATCGTGGACATTCTTAATCGAATATACTCTATCTCTTTAGCAGAAAAAAAGGCAATTTCCATAAAATCCGTTCCCAGTTTATAAGAATACACGCATAAATCAATACACAAAATGTTTTCGCTCAAAACGATTGAATAGCCTCTACACATGCTATGATGACTCATGCTTACGACGTAATACCGAAGTACTATTAAAACTACTATATCTCGAGGAAGAAAAATGGAATCGCAACGCTCGAAAATAATGCCCTAAGTAGAAATAAGCAGAAAATTTGATGTTTTCAATATATAACCTCAAATGTCGCAAAAACTCGTGTTTTTGGCAATCTGGGGGTAGGATATTTAAAAATTCTAGTACTAGAGAAATTTGCGGCCAGATTTGGATTCAGCACCAAGAAACGATGTGTTTTACTCAGGTGGTAAAAAAATCAAAATTTGTACAAACAATTAGAAAAGAAAAAAAGAAATACTTAACTTACAACAATTCAACAAGGTGGGTTTGCAACTTCAGCTTTTTATCAATCATGGTTGTATTTTAGTGCATTTAAATTTGTATATTCTTGTAAATTCCGCATATTCATGAGACACCGCAGCTTATAATATTTCAAATTATTTCAGGTTTTAACTATCTCGAAGTAATATTAGCTCAAAAATGGCACTATCTTTTATAGCACTAAGCACTACGAAATATTTTTTGGCGTTTTAATTTTCAAAAAGCACTAAATCTAGTGATTAAAGCACCAAGTTGGCAACTATGCTTTGAGGGATAATTCTCGCTGGATTTTCTACGAAGAAACCTACTGTCTCCCCAGAGAGTTTTGCTCTACATAGAAATTTGTGCTCTTTTATTTTCATTTTGACGCATTTCAGTGTTGGTTCTTTAAATTCAAGTTGGCTTTCGGTGTTTGGAATTTAAATAAGTTCTCAGCAAAAAAAGTTTGTTTAAAACATACACATGTATGTGTACATAGTGCTTGAAAATATCAATTTTTCCCTTACCTTAAACCTTTAAGCGTAATTAAGGCAGAATTAAATATGCGCTATCCGGGAAAACAATACCTGTAATATTTGTTCTATGTGTTTGCACTATATCCAAACAAAACCGCGTGTTAAGCAAAGAGTGAAACAATTTGCTATTTTCTAAGTTTGCGAATAAAACTTCACACTTAAATTTAAGACGTTTATAACAAATATTTTATGAAGAAAATCCCCGCTACGGTCTTCTTTAGAAAAAATATATTCGTTTAAAATCAAAGTAAGCGAAACAGGCCCAATTTTATATAACACTGCCTGACATGAAAAATTCAAACATACATATATATTTGAATTTTAAGAAAACCAGGCAAATAACAAAACCAGCTAAAAACGCCTATTTTTTTACAAAACTGCTAACAAATCGGCTGCCGGCTAAACCGAAATTTCTCCGGCTGTTTGCTATCGCAACCGGCTAAATCTAGCTGGAAAACGACTAAAATGGCAACACTGCTTGTATACGTCGATTTATTTTGACTTTGGTCGGGTCATTGGAGCATATTTTCTTTGCATTATATCAGCGATGGGCAGAGAGAGCTTTTACTCTGCACGCGCCTATACAAAATGTTAAGAAAGCTTAAAAGAGCTTTGCCCGCGGGCAAGGCAGTGCCCATAACCGCATTATATTATGGACTTCGTCGCCTTCTCGTGGTTTTCGTTGGCAATTAAGCAGCTAGGATGAACAAAGCGCTTAGGAATTACAGTGGAGGAAAACAAATTTGCCTTCGTATGGGGTTTCGATACGAGTATTTGTTTTTCGATACCTTCTTAGTACTTGGTTCAAAAGTATCGATACCAAAGTTACTTGGTATCGAACGAAAAGTATCGATTATTTACTTGAATTTACTCGTATCGTTTCATCCCTATTGAAGTGAAAAAGTGGCGCGGAGTAAAAAGGAATATTGTGCTCTTGTAACGTTAGATGTGAAATATGCATTTAGCACTGTAAGTTGGCAGCACATAACGGAGCCTTATTAAAATGGAGGTGCCGACTGAAGGTATGACTATCATCAAGATATTTAGAACTCGCTGATCACAAAACAGATGTAGTATTGATAAGTAGCAGAAAGAGCTTAGAGACAATAACCCTCAGCGTTGGTTCAGAAACTATAATATCAAGGCCCTTTCACTAAATTATTTTATTTCAAATTTTAAACGCGGGAAAGGTAATCATTATTAGAAAAACAATTTAAATCAGCATTTAATCATTATTTTATGAATTATTATTGAGTTTTATTTTTTCGCGCAGAGATTATCATTAATTTTGAGTTTTATTTTTCACTTTAAAAATAATGATAATTTATAAAATTGAAAAGGCCATACAGGCGCAACCTACTGAAATTTTGACCTGAAAAGTTTGGGTT